GGTTTCACACGCTCTGCTCAGCTCCTTTTGGTCATAGCGTGATGTTTTATAGTCTATAGCCATCTTCGATAAATGCGCTATCCAACACAAAAATAATTATTCAAATCAGACTTGTAGTTACGGAGATTAGCGCGTTCAAACAAACAAACAAACAAACAAAAAAACAAACTCTTCAGCTTTATACCTCTACAATAGTATGTAATACTATAAGAGTATAAGAAGTAACTATAAGATATAAGATTACATAAAAGAAACATTTAATTCCTTACTTTTAGGAAAATAAAACTTATTCTTTACCGCCACCTGTCGGTGCTTCTCGGAAGCGTTTCATTTACACCTGTATAGAGTTCGATAAAATGATTACAACTAGTGGCTTCACTTCTTTGCTCCCGAGCGTATCTTCTGACAATGCGACGCACGACGCAATGAATTCAAATTAACTGTTTATTACTTTCAGTTTATCGTCGAAACTGAATTATAAATGAAAACCGTCACTAAGCTGGTAAAACCGGTTGTAATCGATTTTAATAATCGTTTGTAGACGGTTTGTTATGTAAATAGGTACTTTGGGTACTTTTATTGAATTGTGACGTAACGTTTTAAACCAAGGATACACTAGGGGGGAAATGTCCAGCGACACGTGTTGCCAGCGACGTCGGGTGAAGTAGCGCGATGTTTCCGAACTTCGGTCGACATGTCTGACAACACCAACGTTATATTTTCAGGATGTGCGTTATTTAAGTTAAATGTTGTATATCAGATGGAATCAGCCGCCATGTCGCCGATACATGTCGTGCCATATTTGTCCCATAGTGTGTCCTTGGCTTAAGGCTTCTCCGCATGAGGGTACAGTTTCGGAACCTGGCAAGTACCAATGTGACTTTTCCGAGTTGTATGTAGGTACCTACTTTCTAAGATTATTTAGACATCACTGACAAACGGTGAAGGAAAACATCGTCAGGAAACCTGGGCTTATATTTTCATCGTATTGAGCAAGCATGGTGTTTAATGCTTAAACCTTATCCGTGTGAGAAAAGCGTGTGAAACAGAGCCTTCAGGAGGCGTGATGTTACACCTACTATAACTTTTTCTAAGGACATTTCTGTATACTCTTTGTAACTTACAAGCTTGAATATACACTACATGTTACATTTAAAATGTTAACGAATTTATAATAATTTACTGTAGACTATAAGAGACTGAATTTTTATACTTTATTATCTATGTATTAAAAACGTGATGAATTCCATTTTGTCGTTTTATTTTATCCATTAAATTAAGTGTGGGAGGGAGAGCCATGCTTCGGCATGAATGGGCCGGCTCGACCGGAGTGATACCACGGCCGAGCAGAAAACCGACGTGAAGCAACGCTTGCGTTGTGTTTCGTCGATTGAATGAGGTTATCGGAAGCCCAATTACTCCTCTCCTCAATCCCTGAATCCCCAACCATCCTCAAAATCCTAATCACCAAAAGGCCGGTAACGCATGACATTACTACGCCTCTGATGATGCGGGTGTTCATGGGCGGCGCCGATTGCTTACCATCAGGTGATCCGTCTGCTCGTTTACCGACAAATCCTGCAATAGATATCTTGTGTGATCCATCCATGTGATCCGAATTGTTGTTTCACAGTGCTTACTCTTGAAACTAATCTCAATTTCATTACAATCCAATAAAATCTCAATAATTATTCAATGTCAACACTATACAACCATAATCGTAGCTGTTACAATAGCATTCAGAGTACGGAATATAAAGCCAAACTCAATACCATTTAGTTCATTCAATATCCACGCAATACAGATGCAATGGGCGCTAGTGTGGACTCAAGAGTACGAAATTCCACAAAACCAATGTCGATCGATCGGAATTGGATTCAAGAGTAAGTCCTCTGATCTGTGTGTCATGTGTATGTGAACTTGTATGTTTATAAACGCACACACGACACACGAGAAAACCCTAGTGTGGGGCAACGTTTTATTAATACAAGCGGTTCATGTTCCGGATAAAAATAAAAGTCCAAAAATCATCAAAAAAACAATTTTATTTGGCCACAAACAATTACAATTGTAAAAAAATGTACTTTTTTCGAAAAAATCACTTAAATAATACTTAGTGTACTTATATCTTACTTAATGATTACTTAATGATAGTAAAAACATCTAAAAATATTCTTAAAGACATTATGAGAACCATTTTATTATTAATTTTAATCATTTATAATAAACACAATTACTGACAAAAGGCACCTATTTTAATGTTACAATAATAGCTATTTTGAAAAACAAAAAGTCCTAGATGCGCAATCCCTTTTTTTTAAGGGGGGGAAAATCATCGAATGACTGCTCCCGCCTGGGTGAGGCGGGAGGGAGTGTCAGACTCTTACTGACTAAAAACCACCCCGTTCCTTCTCCTGCACGTCGAGCCGGAGCCCCGGTTACCCGTTAGGTTCTCCGCGACTCCGAATCGGCATCGGCCCTATTGGGCCCCATCTGTGGTGGTCTGATGGCTCTTTGAGGCGCGCGCGGAACGCGACGCGCCGTACGCTCGGGTAGATGCGCAATCCCTACTAATATAATATTATAACATGCTTGTATGTCCACTACGCATTACCGCATAAACCTAGATGACATCTGGTATATTTATGCGCCAGTTATTTAGTATGTATAATAAGATAAATTAAGATTGATCCAGTACAGAGACAGTAGCCATTGTTGTACTTAATTGTACGCTTTGTAACGAAGCCATGTCTTTAGTAACTCAGTCGGCTCTAGACAACCAATGGCTACTGTCTATGTACTGAACCAATCTTTGTTTTCTTACCTACATACTTAATAACAGCTGACTGTACTTTCTAAGATTATTTAGACACCACTGACAAACGGTGAAGGAAAACATCGTGAGGAGACCAGGGCTTATAATTTCTAATTATAAGTTTGAAATCGCCAACTTGTATTGAGCAAGCGTGGTGATTAATGCTCAAACCTTCTCCGTGTGAGAAAGGGCTTTGCTCAGTGGGCATTTATAGGCTGTTAATGATGAAAATTTCAAATATGGAATGGGCATCTAGGATTTTTATAAACAAAACATTATTAAAAAATGCATCATAATACCATACAAGCAAATATCAACTGTATTGTCTATAGCTAAAGCTGATTTTCGAGTAAACTTGTATAAGTTTATAAAAATATCGAAGTCTCAATCGAAACTATGTTCTATGTTTAGGCACATACGGTTTCATTTAGTAAATGACAATTTATTAACACGTTTTAGAAATTGTTTTTTAAGCTCCTAATAGATAAAGACACTATTCTAGTTGCATTTAGAGTTTTTCCTAATATCTATCTAGATTAAAATCGGTTGTAAATATTAAATGCAAAAACCAGTTAGATTTACAAATAGGAACCTTAATATATAGTAACAAGGTAGATTTCACTTTAAATTGAATAACATAACATCACGCCTTTTATCCCCGAAGGGGTAGGCAGAGGTGCACATAGAAGTAACACCCACTTTTCACTATTTATGTTATGAGTCCCATGTAATAGGGGGTGAGCCTATTGCCATATACCGGGCACATTGCCAGACTCCGTGCTACTACTGAGATTTTTTAAAAAACCCCAGTAATACTTTGCCCGACCCGGGAATCGAACCCGAGACCCCTTGCCCGGCAGTCGCACTTGCGACCACTCGGCCAATGAGGCAGTCCTTTCGGCAGTTTAAATTGAATTTCAAGAATAATTATTCATGAAATCCAATCTTAATGCGTAGGAATTAAAGTCGAAATTGCCTAATGAAACCTTTGATTCAATTTGACAATAATTACACAAATTCTTACATTTCTAGTAGTGTTATGTACTTCATATACAAAATATTGTGAGACAAACTAAAATGAAATATACGGTTTACTCAGTTGGCTGTGTGACGTACACTGATCTATTCTATGGGTCCCGAGGTGACTCGAAACTGGTCGAGTAAGCCGTATATTAAAATTAATATACAATTGGTTTAAAAAATTCGAGTAAATGAATGAAAATATATCTTGAATGTGAATACTATGTTTACTTATAATGTTAAAAAAAAACAAGTGTTATTTATTATCAATCAATAAGGCTGTTTTGGTTATAGAATGGTTTTTTATATATATATTTGTTGGGCCGACGTTTGCCCACTATCTCGCCTGGTGGTAAACGATGATGCGGTCTACGATGGAGCACGTCATCCCATAAGCAACCTATTCACTCGGGCCTTGAAGACACCCAGGTTATACCCTTCAGGAAACACAGAATCTGGCAAAGAATTCCACTCCTTAGCAGTACGCACAAGGAAGCTTAGTACTGCCTCATTGGCCGAGTGGTCGGTAAAGAGTCCGGGTTTGATTCCCAGGTCAGGCAAAGTATTACTGGGTAATTTGAAAAAAATCTCAGTAGTAGCACGGAGTCTGGAATTGTGCCTGGTATATGGCAATAGGCTCACCCCCTATTACATGGGACTCGCGAGTTTTTGCGAGCTGCGCGCGTGCAGTCACGGCAATGGTTCGATGCGCCTCTTTAGAGCAACTCATGCGAGGCTCAAGAGTATACATAATAATTTTAAATGCACTCGGCTCGCGAGTTGGACATTCCTTGCATGTGGACGCACCTTTTACAATTTAGGGGTCTCTTATAGGTCGATGAAAATCATGGAATAACTGCTCCCGCCTGGGTGAGGCGGGAGGGAGTGTCAGACTCTTACTGACTAGAAACCACCCCGTTCCTACTCCTGCACGTCGAACCAGAGCCCCGGGAACCCGTTAGGTTCTCCGCGACTCCGAGTCTAATTACATTGGGTACATTTTAAACCATTTTGTTAAAGAAAAAATTAGTTTCTGTTATAAATAACTAAATCCATTCTATAACTGAAACAATCTTACAGATTACCTATAAATTAATAACACAATAATTTCATACATACATGTAGTGTTTAGGTGGGTTTGTCTCATATTATACTAACGGTAGGCTTACATCAACGGTTCATCTGTGAAGTATGGGTGCTCCAGGCAGTCCAGTGCCGTGAGTCGTTTGGCCGGGTCGAATACTAACATACCCTGGAAAAGAAAATTAAATAATAAATTAGTATTTCTGGCTTTGTACTCTAAAACTCCGTGAAATCTATATCGTTTTCGTCCCGAAGTAAAATGGTTCTGTCCCGGTAATACAATAGTTTTACAAATAAATAAAATGTTTAAAACAAACAATAACTGGTGAACCATTGCAAAAAGCAAACTTCGAAAGCGCATACGAACTCATAGTACATTATCAAAACATCACACCATGTAATTCTCGAAGAGGTATTTCTCGTTCAGTGACACGTGCGATGCGAATAGTGCCTACAAATTTACGTCGTAGTGTTTCATGTGCGTTTTTCCATGAACATTATTTTCAATGACACCTTTATTTCTTTGTTTTTACTTTAGAAAGTACTCCTTATGTCAAGTTGTTTTGTTGCATGAAGAAATAGATGTCACAGTGTATAAACGAATTAAGTATAATAAAATATACAAGATATTTCTACGATAGACTTTGTTTACACCGTCTCATTGTATCTTTACTTATTAATATATTTTATCTGATTACCAATGTAATAATATGGGTTATGATCACCTGAAATAAATGTATTTTATTTTATTTATTTATTGATGGTCGTGTGTTGGTCAAAGCAACTGTTTAGCAAGGGTGTGTGTGCTGTGTTTATCGTATTTTTGTTAATTAACATAACATCACGCCTTTTATCCCCGAAGGGGGTAGGCAGAGGTGCACACTGTTCACAATTTATGTTGTGAGTTCTATGTAATAGGGGGTGAGCCTCTTGTCATAGACCGGTCATAATTCCAGACTCCGTGCTACTACTGAGATTTCTTAAATCGGGAATCGAACCCGAGACCCCTTGCCTGGCAGTCGTACCGGCGACCACTTGCCCAACGAGGCAGAGTTCTACACAATAGTATCGAAATGCTATCGAAACAAAATATGACCGCAAACAGTTTCTGTTGATGTAAGCTGTGACTCATTGAGTCATTCGGTTTTGTTCATTCTCTGTAATAAACCGAGTGTGACATAGCTTCACCGCCTACTACATGGAAGTCACACTCAATCACAACTTAACTAGTGGGGAGTAGCTATGATTTAGCCAATTTTGAAAATATTAAGTTTAAAGTCGGTACGGTAGGTGCGGGTTCGATTCCCGCACGGAACAACTTTGTGTGAAGCACAGATTGTGCATCGGCGGTGCTCAGCCCACGCACCGACATCATAATTATGCTCCACCGATGGACGGAGGATAAGTTCAATATCAGAACGTAACTTGAAACATGGTTACCTTAATTAATTCTAACGCTTGGAAGTGTATCCTAGGTAAGATTTCAGCGAGGTCCTGTGGCTGGTACTCCGGGAAGCTGTCCAGCATGATGGAGACATTGTCCGGCCATTCTGACCGGGATGGTCTGCCTATTAGCCTGTAAGGAAATTAATAGGAATTTAAAGAAAGTAAAGAATGCACTGCAAAGTCACAAATACATTAATTTTTTTTTTAAACATTGCCCCACACTGGGATTTTCTCCTGTGTCGTGGGTGCGTTTACAAACATAGAAGTTCACATACGCAATATATGTATAGATAGATGTGTTTATCGATTTATTTATGAAATCAGTTCAGAAAGAGTAAGATCTGGAGATAAACAAATAATAGGATCTATTCCTCGAGGAAGCGTTATATTCACACACATCTATTTTAAAAATTAATGATGTATCATCTGCAAAAAGCACCGTTCTTGGTTCATTTTTTAATTTAAATGGCACATCATTTATATAGACTAAAAAGGGAAAGGGACCCAATATTGAACCTTGAGGAACGCCCATATTCATACCTGAATATACAATGCAGCTGGTCGGAGTCGGAGGCGCCGGGCAGCAGGGGCTTCCTGGAGTGCAGCTGCGCCAGCACGCAGGCGGCCGACCACACGTCCACCGCCGTGTTGTAGCGCGCGCCCAGCAGCACCTCGGGCGGACGGTACCACAGCGTCACCACCTGGGGACAGGGTATTCCATTCTTAGCTTTCTCCTCCGTCAGTCAAAACCTCAGAAACCTACTTATTATACTCCATATATTTATTTTAAATTCTCTATAAATTACATTTTTAAATACTACTTACAAAAAAATAAAAATAATATTTAAAAATATAAAAAATAGGAGCCGACCAGTAGCAGGTGCATGGTCCAAGCTACCGATGGTTAGGGCTTCAGAGACAGAAACCTCCTCACGATACGTGCCGTTTCTAGGATAACTGCCTTTTGTATCAGGCCCTTGATCCATCCACCTATTAACGCCAGCCTACTGAGATGGATGTCAAGACTTTTAGGGATCAACCCATTGGCCGACACGACTATCGGCACAATGATAGTCGAATCCACATTCCACATGTCGACAACCTCGTGAGCTAAGTCTAGATATTTTATTTGTTTATCTTTCTCAGCTTTCACGAGGTTCTCGTCATGTTCGTTCTCGTTATTATTGAAGCGCAGGTAAAAACTACGAATAATACGAATATGAAACAATAGGTTGATCGTCTCGTAATTTTCCCTGCTCCTCATAAAACTTCTCCCTTCCCTGATACACATGCAAAAGTATTGACAATCATACCTTTTTGGATAGCTGATAAGACAAGGATATTGTTCTAAAAACTTGTACATGAGGCGTTATTCATCATTTTTTTTCACTAGATAACATTTTGTATGAAGCAATAGCGAAAATCACAAAAAAGTAATGTTTTTCAGTGATTTTTGATAAAGTATTGGCATTTTTTAAATTGACTTCAAATGAATTTAATCTGGGATTTTTTCATAAAAACCTAAAAACTAATAGGGGGTGAGCCTATTGCCTATACCGGGCACATTTCCAGACTCCGAGCTACTATTGAGGTTTTTTAAAACCCAGTAATGCTTCTTTGCCCGACCCGGGAATCGTTCCCGAGACCCCCTGCCCGGCAGTCGCACTTGCGACCACTCGGCCAAAGAGGAAAATACATATAAAAAACTTTAACTTATAAAATTGAGTATAATTATTTGTCTTATGTATCTGTGTGTCTATCAGAAACTAGTTACTTCCGCGCGGTTTCACACGCTGTGCTCAGCTCCTATTGGTCGTAGCGTGATCTTTTATAGCCTATAGCCATCCTCGATAAATGCGCTATCCAACACAAAAATAATTATTCAAATCAGACTTGTAGTTACGGAGATTAGCGCGTTCAAACAAACAAACAAACAAACAAACAAAAAAACAAACTCTTCTGCTCTACATAATAGTATAAGAAGTATAAGATATAAAGTTCCAATACTTTTAACGACATCAGTAGCAAGCATGATATAGATATCTTTTGTACAAGCCTGAGGAAAACTAGAACTATGATAAGTGGAGACTTTTTTAATAGCTGATTTTTGTTTTTTTTTTATTTTAAATATGTATTCACCTTTCTTTTGTTTCTATATTTAAATAATTTTCTTGCTGTGTGCCTGTTTTTGGTGTATTTATAATTTTTATTTTGTCTTAGCTGTTACCTATTAAATCAGTATTCGTGTGAATCTGTAAGTGGCTCAATGTTACTATTCTTCTGCTAAATGTATGTAATGTAGCTGTTGATTCACCATTCAATAAATAAATACGTACCACACTGGTTAATTTCATATCTGTATCATAAGTCTTGGCGAGCCCGAAGTCGGCCAGCTTGACTCGTCCGGAGCAGGTCACCAGAAGGTTGTGTGGCTTTAGGTCGCGATGGACGATGCGGTGTGAGTGGAGGAAGTCTATGCCTGATAGAATGTCGTATGACATATTCTGTAAAGATAGATTTTTCACATAACATCATGCAAAGGTGCCGGCACTTAATGTCACTGTACAATGTAACACCCACTTTTCACTATTTTATGTTATGAGTCCCATGTAATAGGGGGTGAGCCTATTGCCATATACCGGGCACAATTTCAGCTACTACTGAATTTTTTTTTTTAATCCATAAATACTTTGCTCGAACCGGGAATCGAACCCGAAACTATTTATTATTCTATTCCTATTTATTATTCCTTATTATTCCTATCAAGGAATATGTATTTTTTCATTCTCTCAAACGTCAATTTATAGGTATATGGCTATTTCCAAGATCACCTCTTAGATAGGAGTTACTTAGCGTGAAGGAGCACCCAGGGCCGTAAGACTACGCTCGAGCACACGGCTACACAACAATTCAGGGCCTTTTAGGAATTTTCCTTTTGTAAACGTTTCCCCACATTAAAATTTTCTCCTGTTCTGTATCGTGGGTGCATTTACAATAGCATACAAGTTCACAAACACATGACTCCCAGACGAAACAACAATTTATGGATCACACAAAGATTTGCTCCAAAAAACGAGTGTCTGAACGTTGTAGAAATTGTCGGCCCTCCCTGAGAATGGGGACCCTGGACACTGGCCCAGGGTGTATTGTAATGTCTTAGACTACGATAAATGGACCATTAAAGATAAAAATAATTATTAAATTCATACCAACAGTTCCGAAGATCCGCCCGTGCCAGCAAACAAACAATCAAACAAACTTGTCAGCTTTATAATTAGGTAGTTTTCAGGGTATCAAAATTAAAAATCTAATTAGTCAGTCAGTTAAATAATGAAAAAATATAAGACAGGATTTTTTATACTCTCGTATTAAGTTGCAATACCTACTTAGATAAAATGGCGGTAAGTTTAGGAGTGGGAGGTCGTTACGTCATAACGTGCTACAAAATGTGGCATGCTGTGACGTCACACGATATTTCAAATTAATATACCGTCGAAAGTATTTAATTTTGTGAGAAAAGAAAAAATACGACGTGTCTAAAGTTTTAAATTAATGTACCAAACATTCAAATAAAATTTAGGAAACTACCCTATTATGAAAGTATAGATTAGTATAGATGGTGTGACTAAAATAATTAAGTGTGGGAGAACCATGCTTCGGCACGAATGGGCCGGCTCGACCGGAGTGATACCACGGTCGAGCAGAAAACCGTCGTGAAACAATGCTTGCGTTATGTAAGTGAGGTTACCGGAGGCCCAATTACCCGCCCCCTTTCTCCTCCCTGAATCCTCAACAATACTTAAATTCCTAATCCCCAAACAGCCGGTAACGCACTTGTAACGCCTCTGGTGTTCCAGGTGATCCGTCTGCTCGTTTACCGGCTTATCCCATAAAAAATAGTTTCCAGTAATTGTATAATCACTGAATTAAAACTCTTTTACCGTCTTGTTACCAATGAAGGTTGCTTATAGCTTACAGGTCACACCAAAGTCAAGGTATCTCGTTCGAGGTGATCCGACTGCTCATTTACCGGCTTATCCCATAAAAAAACGTTTTCTTTCTTTGAATATCTTACCCTGATAACTCCATGTGACAATGGTGACTGTGACTTCTTGAGGAATGACTCCAGATCCTGGTCCACGTGTTCAAACACCAGGAACAGGACCAGCTGCTGGTCGCGTTCCAGTGACTGGCCACCGTGGCAGACGTCCAGGAGTCTAGAAGGAGATATGATCATTATTATTAAGTAGGATGGATAGTTAATTTCTCTTATGGTACATTCGGCCAACGAGGCAGTCACTCGGCCAACGAGGCAGTCACTCGGCCAACGAGGCAGTCACTCGGACAACGAGGCAGTCACTCGGCCAACGAGGCAGTCACTCGGACAACGAGGCAGTCACTCTGCCAACGAGGTAGTCACTCGGCCAACGAGACAGTCACTCGGCCAACGAGGCAGTCACTCGGCCAACGAGGCAGTCACTCGGCTAACGCGATAGCCACTCGGCCAACGAGGTAGTCACTCGGCCAACGAGACAGTCACTCGGCCAACGAGGCAGTCACTCGGCCAACGAGGCAGTCACTCGGCTAACGCGATAGCCACTCGGCCAACGAGGTAGTCACTCGGCCAACGAGACAGTCACTCGGCCAACGAGGCAGTCACTCGGCCAACGAGGCAGTCACTCGGCCAACGAGGCAGTCACTCGGCCGACGAGGCAGTCACTCGGCCAACGAGGCAGTCACTCGGCCAACGAGGCAGTCACTCGGCCAACGAGGAGTTTGAGATTCATAGGTCTCCAAAATAAGGCAAATTACCTGACTATATTAGGATGTCTATAAGCCTCCAGTTGCCTCAGTAGTGCAATCTCTCGGAGTGTGGAGAGAGGGATCCCATCCTCTGTGAGTGCCACCTTCACTTTCTTCATGGCTACAATATTGCCTCCGTTGTGGAGGTCCCGCGCTTTGTATACTGTGCCATAGGCTCCTGTAATGTTTGTTACATGTTTATTTGTTAAAATATATTTGTCTTTTGATTTCTATGGGGTAAGCTTGAAGTGTAATATAAATACACAAACATAAGATGTGAGTAGAATGAGAGAAACTCTTATCAAAATAAATAAAATCTTCTGCTATTAAAATAAATGTTTTGCATGAAAGGGTCTTCTGTATGGCTTCACACATCTTTAATAATATTCCAGGGCCTATCACAATTATTACGGAACATAGAAATTTTAAAAAGAGTCTCCACGGTCTATTAGTGAATAATTGCTACTATTCTATAAATAACTTCTGATTGGACAAATCCTTGCTTTAATATATTCTCCCTCAGTCATGATGTGTTTAGTGGCCAGTTTGATGTGTGCCTATTTTGTGTTTTTTATGCAATATTTAATATATTTATTAATTGACTTTTGTACTGACTATTGTAGCCCAAAGGGTGGGACATGGCTGATCTACTTAATTGTATATATTTAAGACCTGTATTTTGTATAAACCTGTGAATCACAATAAAGAAATTTGAATTTGCTATTTTTCACCAGATGTTTTTTTTATAACATTGCTCCACACTTAAGATTTTCTACTGTATCATACCAAACATTAAGTTCATATACAACATGTTCATACAACAGTTGTTTGGTGCGGGAATCGAAACTTTCGCGGACATGTTGCACAGTCTAGCCACCGCACCAACCATACCATGAAGTCATGTTAAGAGTCAAGTTACATTTTGAATCTAATGCAATAAGATTATAAGTGATGAGTACCATAACAATATGAGTTAGAAATAAGAAAACTATCCTAATCTTTGAATACTATACTACAGCTACAGGTTCCTACTAAGGCTCTAAACAGACAACAAAATTCATTTGCAAATTGCAGTTTGAATACAATTTGAACTCAGTTGACACAACTGCAATAGAACTGCAATCGGACTGGTTGTTTAGATTAAAACCATTTCGTCATGACTGCAATAGAACTACTATCGGCCTAGTTGTTTGGTTTGAAACCGTTTGGTCATGACTACAATGGAACTACTATTGGCTTGGTTATATGGTTTGAAACCGTTTGGTCATGACTACAATAGAACTGCAATCGGCCTGGTTCTTTGGGAAACCGTTTTGTCATGACTATAATAGAACTGCTATCGGCCTGGTTGTTTGGTTAGAAACCATTTTATCATGACTGCAATAGAACTGCAATCGGCCTGGTTCTTTGGTTTGAAACCATTTGGTCATGACTACAATAGAACTGCTATCGGCCTGGTTCTTTGGGAAACCGTTTTGTCATGACTATAATAGAACTGCTATTGGCCTAGTTGTTTGGTTTGAAACCGTTTGGTCATAACTGCAATAGATCAACAATCAGACTGCACGTTTGGTTGGCAGTTCAATTGCAGTCATAACACAAGTGTATTCAATTGCACCCAAACTGCAATTTGTGGTTGTATTGCAGTTGAAATGTGACCCGTCTGTCTAGAGCCTTACACACTTTAAATGTAAACTTTTAAAAGCATGTCTGTATGTTCTCTTTTACTAAAAAACTACTAATTGGTTGAGAATGCCATTGATCAAACTAGTGGACATAATGACGTCAGAGGGATTTAGACCTCCTCTCACTTCTACGACTTCCAGAATGCTGATATTTATTTGAATAAATCTCAGCGTTACATTCCAATATTTCCAATCTAGTTGGTAGAGGCCAGGAAGAATAGTGCTTATGTTTTTTTTATAACTTTGTGAATGTATTTTATTTTGTTAGCTTTTATAGTGTGAAATAAATTTAACAGTCATGATCTATGGTAATGCTTAAAAATAGAAATATACCATAGAAATTGATAGAAACCAGTATACTTAACTTTTTGCTAAGTTGTTTGTTTCAAAAAGTCAAAACAGCAAGTCCTTTTAAGTTGGGGTCATTTACACATAGAACATAACATTAAAACCTAGATTTTTAAGTGTTTTAACATTCAGAAATGAGTATTGTTAAGATGTGAACGAACAAAGGAGATTGACCAAAAGCAGTCTAGCAAAGTTTCAAGTTGAAAAATCAAAATAATATAGAAATAATTTTCTTATTTTTTACAACCTTTTCACTTCAGGAATTGTATATTCGTATCCGGAATTATGATGATAAGATTAATAGTAACATAAAAATTGCTATGGAATTTCCGTTTCAAGGACATTGACGTTCCGTGCTAACTTACGAATAAAACTTCTTGTTTACGAATCACGTAAGTAGAACCTTTCGGCAAAATCATCACAAAAATTATATCAACTTCAATAAATAGCTAAATAATTTGTAAAATCAATACATTTTACAATGTATTTATTTAGTATTTTGTAGTATTGTTACAATTATAATTATTTTTGTGTTCCGTCTCACGCAGAAGCAACTGTCATAACATGTGACAGACAGAGTGGCGGCATTTGGATTGGAAGGAAAACTGTTTCTGTTTCACTGTTTGAGTGTTTGTTTTGAACTTTTGAATAAATAAGCGTGAGTTCCATGTAGCATACGACAAGACGTTTTTGTGTTTAGTTAAGTTTTATATACGCCAAAACGTTTTATGCGTATACTACATTACAACTAATGTAGTATACGACAAGACGTTTTTATATTTAGTTATTGTTTTATTACGCCAGGACGTTTGAAGTGCTGTGTGAATGAACTCTTGAGTGTACCTACTTTAAGTAATCATGTCGATGCTTGACCCTGATCAAACGATACCGATGGTAAGGAGGAGAAGCCGATGTGTCAATTGTTCGCTTTTGATACCCAGAAATCACCAGGAGCATTCCTTGCAACAAGCGTCTGCTACGATGATTACCATTTTACAATCTTGGATAACTCCCACTGAGGTAAGCTTCATTTTATTAAGTACTTCTTGGTTACCAGACTTGCTACCATCCTGTACTTTAACCAGCTAACGTTATAGGGCACCATTTAACTTATATTTTTATGATTAGTGAAGAAATGTAAATCTCTTTATTTTACATAGTTAATTGTTAATCATACATAGTAAGTACATATATTAAATAAGGTCAGAGTGCCATCTCATTCAAGCTAATAACTAATATACTGTTGATTTACATTATATTCATATTAATATAATAAAGTGGAAAAGAATTTTTCTTTGTTTAAACACTCATCTCCAGCACAACGGAACCAATTTGAAAAAACTTTTTATAGAGTAAGTGTACAGTTTATATACGTAGGTAACACAGTGAGCTCTGTTATATACTTAAACTGTCAAACACCGAGCGGTCACCGGTGACCTCAACTTATTCTTTAATTGTGTCTATCAATGATATATCTATGATAGAACGAAGAAAAACTCTTTTCCACTTTATTACACTCTTCATTACACCGTCATTACGGTACTCAAAGAGTTAAGTTACTATACTGGTGTCAAGCCTGGGTAAAATATTCCAGGATAACATCAGAATTAAAATATTTTTTTTTATTTCAGCTTTCATCTGAAAGTGTACTTTGTACAGAGTGTATGGTGTTACTCCAAGATCGAGCAAACACATTCATTGTACCTGAAAATGCTTTCCCATTGCCTGCTCTTGGTCACAGAAGTGTATGTTTTTCTTGTGGATTGTCTATTTTACGTGCATCAAGAACATATACTGTGCGATCTGACCGCCAAGAAAGGAATGTTATATTAAGAAATGTTCCACTGCACTTGGTATGTATTTTGGACTTGCATATATTTCTATAATGCTAGATTTCATTCTTGGGGAATTTCACCTTGCAAAACTGCAGTAATATATAACTGCATGTTGTGTGAGTGAGTAAGGTTGGCGGTGTGTCAAAGCCAGTAGTTGTGTTGGGTTTAAAAGTATTTGAATTTGAACATACACTAGACTTATACTGATATTTCACTCACTAATAATAATATTGTATTAGTGCTGATATTGCATACTTATTATTTTAATGTTTTATTCTAATCAATTATACTGAGTTCATGTATTTCAATTTGTTCTTTTTAGGTTTCAAGATTGGAAAGAGTATGTAGTTCTTGTTGGATGGCAGCTTATAGAGAAGTGAGACGTCAAAATCAATTAGACTCTAATCGCCCCACTCTGCCAGATGTGGGAACGAGTGGAGATTTTAATGTACCTGTACCACCACCCCTTCCGCAACATGTCTGGGAACCTTCTCCAACAAGGGATAAAATAACTTCATCTGTGTACAGACGTGGTGCTAATACAGCTAGTCATTGTATATTTGTTGACTGTTTTGAACCAGAACGTTTACTGATTCCTGCTGCTATTAAGGATCTTTTACTTTTAAATCATAGGTTCTATGTACCACCCGGAGCACGAATTTGCAATTATCATTTAAATCATGGTCACTGGAATGAATTAACCTCCCGGCTAAGAGATTTTACTGGTACACAGTTTGATAACATTTTAAACATGTTGCAGCGAGCTGCCAAATACCACATTGATTTTTCGAATATTGCAACTATGCCGGCATATTTATGTCATTACTGGTTAGGTATGACTTCTAATCAATTTCATGATTTATTAAATTCTATTCCAAGTCTGTCAGACTCTGTACCTAATGCCACTATTGCTTTGTCTATGTATTTAGTTAAACTGCGAACAGGTGATAGTAACGAAAGATTGGCAACACTTTTCGAGAAATCTCGAACTACCTTAGAACGCTGGATGAATGCAGCTAGAGAGTGTCTAACTAGACAGTTTGTACCGATGCATTTAGGATTTAATCATCTAACCATAGAAGATGTTGCTTCTAGAAATAGAATAATCCCTGAAGGATTATTTGGCAATCCAGATTTTCCCCCAAATACCAAACCGGCAATAGTCATGTGTGATGCAACATATGTATTTATGCAGAGTAGCACTAATTATTTATTTCAAAAACAGACTTATAGTTTGCAGAAACTAGATAATTTAGTAAAGCCATTTATGATAGTATGTTGTGATGGTCACATAATAGATTGTTTAGGGCCCTATAAAGCAACCACTAATGATGCTACGATTACTAGTTTGAATCTTCGTAATGAGGAGTCTGGTATAAGAACATTTTTCCGGACAGGCGACATCTTTATACTTGACAGAGGTTTCAGGGATGTCATAAATGAATTACAAGAATGTGGTTTTGTGACACACATGCCAGAATCTTTATTAGAAAACGAACATCAGTTGACAACCCAGCAAGCAAATCGGTCTCGTTTTGTAACTATGTGTCGTTGGGTTGTAGAAGTCGTTAATGGGAGAATTAAAAGGGACTTTAGACTCTTTCGACATGTATATAATAATCGTGCTGCTTTGCATCTAAAGGACGATTTTAGAATATGTTGTGCACTAACAAACATGTTCCATGTATCCATACAGGATCCACCAGAGGCTGCAGAGTATGTTAGAATAGCAAAAAATAGGCTTGAGCTTGAAAACCATTTAGCAATATATGTAGAACAAGAAAATCTGAATAGAAGGAGAACGAATTTTCAAATGATTGATCACATTAATCCACATTTAAATAGGTTTCCCCGACTATCAATTAATGATTTAAAGCAATTTGCACTGGGTACCTATCAACTTAAACAAGCCAGATCGTACTATGGGGAACATGTCCGTCGGACTGGTACGTATCATGTAGAAGTAAATGACGTGATTGAGGATGATATACCTCTGATTTTGGGATATAATAACTATCTATTGAGAGGCAGGATTAAATCGAGACACATAAGTAGTCGCACCTATTTTACCTACTTATTAATTAGCAAAGATGATGCTGTGGCTAATACATTAGACGCGATTGTCGGCTACTCATGCAGCTGTCTGGTAGGAAAAAGAACTGTGGGCTGTTGCGCTCATATAATGACTATAGTTTGGTTTTTGAGCTGGGGGCGCTATAATGATATAACTGCTCCAGCTTCGTATTTAGACGATTATTTCATGGAGTATGAGGAATAACTAAGGTATTATACCTAACACAATTCTATTTCATGTTATATATGTATGTAGGACATCTAAAATACAAGTACTTTTTTTTCTTTTCTTTGGCAAACGAGTCTCCAAAATACAAGTACTTGTTCTACATTGAATATTGATTACCTACATGAAATGTTCATAATTATGTTTTATAGCCCTGAGATAAGTTAAACCTAATAAACAATCTGAATGAAGTTGTTGTTTTTTTTACAAATAGAAGCTGGTGACTTGTTTTATTTTTATTTCTTGTGTGTTTTAATTGTTGTACCTATATGAGTGATCTGTCAGATCTGTGGTTATTTTATACGTTGCGAGAAGTCAACTCGTTGAGTACCGTCATCATCTATAGACACAATTAAAGAACAATAGGTTGCGGTCACCGGTAACCGCACGGTGTTTGACAGTTTAAACATAATTTTAGGTTATTTTCGTTTTTGTCTAATTACTTAAAAACCCGGATATTTATGGGAAAATGAACGCTTTTATTCGATAATATAATAAGCATGGTCTATAATAAATAAAGATTTATTGTGCAACAACGTAAGACGAAATTCCATAGTTACGTGAACATTCTCCTTTAAAATATAAAAAAAAAACAAATGAATAAACAGAAAACAGACTCATAATCAACTCATGTACTTATACCAATATTTGTATATCAAAAATAACATTTTGTAAATGAAATATACCACGAATAACGTGTTCAATATGTTTGTTAAACAAAATAGAATATTAAAAACAATATTTGACTCAATAAATACAACAAACAAAAATAAATAAACAAAAAACAAATGCATATAGTCGTAATAATTTGCGCGAAAACACATACACCGGCGTCGCGACGCGGCGCGTTATAAATTAGGTTATTTCTGTTACAAAACTTAATACTTACCAGTTCCAATTACATTTAATTCTTCATATTTCTTTGCATTTTGAAATAATGTGTTTACATCGCTAATCGAAGCCATAGGCGGACTCGTAGAAGTACTGGCTCCCGACATTTTCGGTAAAACAAACTGTTTTTATACTTGAAATCGGGTTTTAAACACTTTTTATTCACGCTTGAACACTTGAGCGACGTCTTTTAAAGGTTTTTATTATTATTTGATAAAAAAACACGTATTGTAAAAAGTTTAATACTTTGTCTGTAAAGTTTCAAGCGCACTGGAGCGCGCGGGGGCGGGGGTTGATTTGTCTGGGGGACGAGGAATGTCATTGCCCGAAACTAGCCACCTGTCGACTATCCGGCAAAATTGGAAAGAAGAGTGCTCTATAATAATACAGATGGTATGGGGCTCTACTAGAAAAGTTGGATTACACTTGTCGTGTTTTGTACAGCGCCATCTTTGAATCGATTTAGGTAAATTACAAAGTAGTACTCTAGCTTTTAGCTAGATGTCGCAAGCTATTTTTTTTTAATTTATTTGTATAATCATGTGCAGTGGTGTATCAGCTCAAATGTCGAATTAAACTATGTATTTCAAATTAAAAATAGCTCAAGCTTTTTCAAAATAAAATATATTTAAAAGTTATTTCAAAGCCCAGCATAATAATTTTATTACAGTAATGTCTTCAAAAACAAAATGAAAAAAATTAAACGTCTTTTTAATGATGAACTAATAAAAAGTAGGTCAATAATAAGATAAATAGGATACAAAAAGAAGATCGAGACAATCTTCTACGGGCTCGTCCGGGATTTGAACCCGGGACCTCTCGCACCCGAAGCGAGAATCATACCCCTAGACCAACGAGCCGTGGTAGTTAAGTGCGAATTTAGAGTTCAGATTTTCTTACTGATGACGTCATAGAAAATGTTTATATTTTATGACGGGAAATCTTATTGAAGATTTTATTTTACGTAAAATTGGAAGAAAATTGACGTTGCACTTTTAATACGCAATCCAACTTTCACATACACAAAAATACTTCTTTTGATCAATGTAGGTTTTTTTTTCTAAATGAACTTAATTTTACACAAAGGAGGAAGATTCTTAACAATTAAGGATAAAATCTTATTCAAAACATTTTATCCTTAATTTTTGAATCAAAACAATTTTTAACACCAAAACAAGATGACCGAACACCTCAAGGCGATTTAGAAAGTTGACGCGCGAAAGGAGAAAAAAATTACCGCTACATGACACCCTCTATCCGTCTCTGTCTATTCTACGTAAAACGTATCTGCTGTCTCGCCTCCACGTATGAATCGAAGTGAATTTCGAGACGCGCCGCGTCAGTTGACTTCAGACAGTACTGCGCGCGCATGTTCAAATTATAATGGCGGTTTCTTCAACGAAATAAAATAAATACACTAACTTTTTGTTACAAAATTCATGCTTTACGACTTTTCTTATACTCGAAATAGTGTTTTAATTTAAAATTGTTTTTTTAGTAGTGAATTCAAACGTGTAGACACGGAAATCGCGTGTGGAAGTGTGTGGCAAAATGTGAAAGTTTCTTATAAGAAAACAGTGGTTCATTTTTTTTACGTGGTATCCTACATATTTCTTGTTTCTACAGCTGTTTTGATATTTAAAAGTCGGTAAGTTGAATAATTAAGTTATTTGACATTTTTAAAGAAAATTCAGTTACAATTTAAACTTAAAAGTTTACTATTTGATTTATAACTTCATGAATGAAAATAAGTAAGTATTTAATTCGACAAACGGATTTCCGTATTAATGTGTCATCAAACTATCAAAGGATATGTTGGGAATTGGGATGAGATTGACAACGTTTTTGCCTAAGGGTTGATTATGAATAACATGTATAAAATTTGATATAATGGTGTAATATATGCGTCACAGCTTTGATCAGGTATACTTACCTACTCACAGTTATGATAATTATCTTTTTCGGCACAATTTGTGCATGAATATAAGTTTAATACTACCATAAAGAAAGCGGCAATCGCAGTAACGTATAGGTCTCCTGTTTTAGTGTTCTAATAAGAGTAGCTCAATAGCTACGAAGTATGATGTTTACAATAAAGGTTTATTTGTGTTCAAAAATACAATTTTTTGTTGGGTAAATTTACACGATATACCGCCCATCAATCGTAGGTAGGTACTTTCTTAATCATCCCAAAACAGTCCACTACTGACACGGATCATTTGAGTACCTTTACATAAACTTTAGCAGGATTTTGCCATAATCTCAATTGTCGGCTCGTTGAACGTTCTTGATTAATATAAAAGCCTATTTACTTATATATCAAATATCACTGTATGTATTTGTATTCCCATAGAAGGAGTTTAGAAACGGATGAGATTCCAAATTCGAATAAGAATACGAATTGTGAAGTTCGTCATAATGATTCCGTATATACCTACAAGCTAGCATAATAATAATAATATCTTCGTTTTTACTCATCACTTATCATTTACATATTATCTTAATGCTTATTTGGCTCGCCAATCACCCCACAAAAAGTAGAATAGGAAGCTTTTTTTAAAAGTTTTTATATACCGATTCTTAATTTGCTAAAATGCCTATCTAAGTAGGTACTTACTAAATAGAAATTAACATTGAATGTATTGTGTATTTTCGTTTAGAATAGGTATATTTTAATTGAATAGTGATGGGTTTTAGATAATGTGTCACGACATGAAACAAAAATATAGGTAAACATAATTCTTCAATTAGGTAAACAATTGTTTTCGTTTTGAATCATGTTACGATAGCTTATTATTTCATCTTATAATACCTAGTAATTATCTAATCAAGAACGGAGAAAATAAAAACAATAATTGTTGCCAAAAGTGTAGAATTAAGATGCCTAAGAGGTAAACCTTTTGCCGTATACTGGACACCATTCTGAACTCTGCGCTACCTACTAGGTTCTCGATACGAACTAAGTAGGTACTATGATTTTTTGAAAACCGTAAAACACCATGACCTAGGCAATGATGACAAGAGCTCTTGCTCTGTGACCATGCATGGAGGCCAATTAACCAATAAGTAAATAAATAAATAATAAGGAACCTCAATAAAGGCAGTCATTCGCAAACTACAAATATTAAAACTATGTAAATTATCTGTTGACATGATTAACGGCCCGTATGTATTTTAATATCAAAATACTGAAAATAAACACATTTTTTTCTAAACAAATGAACAATTTAAGTCGATATAAAACCCGTAGAATGCCTGTAACGGTCGACTTATCGCTATTAATTGCTCGTAGCAGCTTCACGCTAGTCTACTATGTGGGTGAGCAGGTAAACGTATGCTAGGCAAACGGAAAGCCAGAAATTCTTTAACATTTTTGTGGTGCAGATAGTTTTTGAAACACGTTTTATAGATATGTGTGCTTGTCAGGGCATTAGATGACTTTTCTTTTCTGCTATTGACGACGAAAATATGGGTACAGAATTACACATTACTTTTACAAATAATAAATTGCTCTTGAACTAATTTGGAGTTTGGATTTGTAGCAGCTATGTGATGGAGACTCTGTTGAATTGCATAACCATCAATTTTTTATTTTTTATTTATATTACGAAAAGATATGTAAAAGGAAACCAAGTTAGTTTAGGATTTAGGGAAAACATTGCAGGTTGTTTATGGTTACTTTGAATTCTCTTGCCGATTTACCAACACATATCCACTAGGCAAGGGGTCTCGGGTTGGATTCCCGGGTCGGGCAAAGTAATACTGGGTTTTTAAAAATCTCAGTAGTAGCACGGAGTTTGAAAATGTGCCCGGTATATGGCAATAGGCTCATCCCTTATTAAATGGGACTCATAACATAAATAGTGATGAAAAGTGGGTGTTACATTGTACAGTGGCATTAAGTGCCGAAATGAGCACCTCTGCCTATCCCTTTAGGGATAAAAAGTCGTGATGTTATGTTAAGTGTTTTGTGTTATAGTCCACTATTCTTATTATTTGAATTTAATACAAATAGGTAATGAACGTTAAACAGTTTATTTTTATCTACATGACTGTAGGAAAGAATACAATATATGGATTTCACTAAATTAGAGAGAAATCCAAATCTATTTTAATAGATAATCCAAGTAGGTATCTTAAGGATTTTGCACATAAGTCTTAAGCGAAAGCTAGTATTGGCCATCTACCTAGGTATATCGTCAGAAGAAAGCCAAGAGCTGCTTAGTCACTAGAATTATGTAAGTAAACTTGAGCTGTAGAAAACGATTTCATTTTCTAACTCAACCATTAAATCAATTAATGGTTACACCAGCTTTCAATATTTTCAGTCAAGTTTTAGGTCCTGTTTGCGTCAATATTATACAGTTTGTAATCAAAGTCATAAATTTATCTTAGACTAACTTTGTAAGATCAATCGCATCACGAGATTATTTCTTTAGTTTAGTATGAATTCAAGCGTGCCTGGATTCAAGGGATTGATTTTCGAAATTCTTGCAAAAATAACTAACGAAAAACTTGGGGATTACGTTTTTATAATAACTATCGCGAGACATAATAAATTAACTAAAAATCTGCTCATGAGGAACCCCACTGTGGTTCGAAACTAGTAGAGCTTTTCTCAGTATATTCACAATTGAGTAACCCGCGATTTTTAGTTAATTGAGGATTATGTATCCACATTATCTGCGTTTTATTGTCATCAGTTCCATAAAACTTGAAATGTATGTATCTCAAGCATCTACGCAAGTCAGTGCCCTATAATTAGATCCTATTTAACACATCTCTAATTTGATTGACGTACATACAAATGCACTGACACGTTTCTTTTCAATTTCTTTTCATAATCCCAATGCCGCGGAGAACCTAACGGGTTTCTGGGGCTCCGGCTCGAAGCGCAGAAGAAAGAACGGGGTGGTTTTTAGTCAGACGATAAGAGTCTGACACTCCCTCCCGCCTCACCTAGGTGGGAACAGTCATTCGATAATTTCCCCCCATAAAAAAATAATCCCAATACATACCCATCTTTATACTATAATATACAAGTATATTACTACAGTTTTTCTCATAATCGTAGGTTTGTTACATATAATTTCAAATTATGATCGTTGTATGAACATCCTAGCTATTCCTCTGCATAGGCAAACAGCAATCGCACTGTATGGATTATAATATAAGGTGTTTTGTTATAATTTATGTTTGGTAAACATTAAAGCAAATATTTTGAAAGAATACAACAAAGAAATAAGAAAGAAAGAATACAACAACTCTCCGTAATTAACCATCTTGGTTTAAATTTTTGAAGTTTTGAATTTCGTCTCTGATCACCTGGTAGAGTTTAGGCTCAAATTATTTAGGTAGTTTTAATTTTATGAAATGTTCATTAATGATTTTAAAATTAAATTAGTCAGGTTATTGAGAAGTTTCAGTCCATTAGTAATATTTTAACAATTACAGTATATGAGCTACCAGGAAGAAGATATCAAGCTTCTCTCAAGAAGTCGCAAATTCTATAACTATCGTTCTCACATTTTGTTCATAGGTAATAGTCTTTGTCAAAAAAAGGAATATTTTTGACATTCGAAACTAAACAGCTTACCTATTTCCAGATTGACTTTGATTCTCACTCAGCATTAAAACATACCTGCTACACGTAAACAAGCGCAACTGGGCAAGGGCTCCAGTGACCTGAATAGCTGGGAACCGGTTGCTGACCGCCTGACCGCGAGTACGAACGTGTGTAGATTGAGATTAGTCTCTGAGACTTTTGAGTTCGTTAGTTTTGATGTTGAAGGCATTTGTTAATTGGGACGAGGCGGATTCATTATTTATTGGTAACTTAATTTGTAATACAATATCGAAGATATGAGGTATGAGGCTTAGATTTGTTAGCGTTACTAGACTAGACTAAAAAACCAACTAACCAAATCCAGATACTAATAAACAAAATGAACAGAAAAAAACAGACATATTAATGTGTAAAGACCGATTTAATAATATTATTTTATTTATTTATGTATATTTAATTAGGTATATTGTTAAAAATAACAAGGTGAAAAAATAAGTGTGGGAGTGCCATGCTTCGGCATGAATGGGCCGGCTCGACCGGAGTGATACCACGGCCTCACAGAAAACCGACGTGAAACAACACTTGCGTTGTGTTTCGTCGTGTGAGTGAGGTTACCGGAGGCCCAATTACCTTCCCCTTCCCCAATCTCCCTAATCCCTGAATTCCCAACGATCCTCAAACTCCTAGTCCCCAAAAAGCCGGTGACGCACTTGTAACGCCTCTGGTGTTCCAGGTGTCCATGGGCGACGCCGATTGCTTACCATCGGGTGATCCGTCTGCTCGTTTACTGGCTTATGCCATAAAAAAATCGGTCTTACCAACCTAGACTGAATTGAAATGAGTCGCCCATAACTATATCAAGTTTGTAAACTTATTAAAAGTACTTGATTTACATATTAAACTCAGATGAAATCAACAGGTCAAATGCAAATCTAGAATTCTTAACTGACTATTTACTGAAAAATACAAAGACAATATTAATTCAATGTTTTATTGTTCCAAGAATCATATGTATATCATGTACACACGGCTACACATCGAGCTTTGCATAACCAGTATAAACTGAACGTTAAATGTGCGGA